TTTTTTTTTTTTTAATGTTTATTTATTTTGAGAGGGAGAGCGCAAGTGGGAGAGGGGCAGAGAAAGAGAGAGAATCCCAAGCAGGTTCCACACTGATATGGGGCTTGATCTCAAGAACTGTCAGATCATGACCTGAATCAAAATCAGGAGTCTGACACTTAACTGACTGAGCCACCCAGGTGCCCATTTTATTTTTAGTTGAACTAATCAGTTTAATAAAATTCCCAAATTATTTTGTCTCTAAGAGAGTGATAATTTGAAATTTATTGTTGAGACTACAAGAGAGGGGTTGTTAACTTGCTACTATTAATGCAAAAAGTGGTTCCCAGTTATAAAATTGTCATAAAATGCTAGATTAGATTCATTAATAATATTGTAGTTAATGAGATCCATAGAAGTAAAAGGCCAGAGCTTAGAAGGACTTTCATTTTATTCAAAAGTCCTGGTATTCTAAATATTATGACAGGGAATTAGATAGACTTGTAAAAAAGGTTTTCAGATTTTTGAATTTTCATTTCTTTAATGCGTGGATTTATTTTCTAAATTCTTTGGCCCCACAATTGTGCATAATTCAGAAAGTAATTAAATGTTCATCTCTTCATCCATATTCCTTTTACTCTCGGTGTTTTCTCTATAATCTGTCTTTTGAGAATAGGGTTTATATAGATGTTTTCTATGTAAGTACTTCTATGGCTCTTAGAAATACTGAATGTGTACACATTTAGAAACACTGGTTTAATTTAAATTCAGTAATAAACTGTGCAAAAGGACCTTACTCTCTAGTCTTTCATCCTAAAGATATCCCTTTGTCATGAATTCTGGAGACCTTTCCTGCTTTGGTCTGAAAACTACTAACTACTGATGATTAGTGGGGATTAGTCCATGCTCTGTTTTCCAGCATCTATATTTTGTTTACATTCCCAATTAAGATTTTCCTCCCTGTATTCTCTTAATGTTTTGCATGATTTATTTTCTCATTATCTTGAACTACAAAAAACTTTCAAGTCTGACAGATGTTGAATAGATTTCAATCTAGTGATTCAATTTATATTTTATGTGTAAATGCTTAATCACATTGACTATTATAATTACTTACACATTTTGCATGATGACTTTTCAGTGTTAATAACTACTTAACTATTTACTGATGTGGGAACTGAGACTTACAGGGATTATATCATTTGTTCAAGATCATATCAGTTTGTTAACGAAGTAGAGTTGTAATTTAGCATGGCTTAGTCTTATTTTAAATTCCGGCTCATGACAAATTTTTAAAAACCTGTGTCCCAAATTCTTGGAGAAAATGCTTAGCAAATAATTGGATAATTATGAAATAAAATGCATTTCTTGTGAAAACTACATCTGCCTTTGCCAGTCCTTTTGTACCTCAGGCGCAGATGGCCTTCATTTATCTTCTTAGTATTCACACTAGTAGTATGCATATATTGACTTTTTTGGGTAAATGTGCTTGCATTCTCTTTTAATAAAAATAGAAGAAAATAATGAAAAATACATGCCATTGAATTAGATTAAGATTCCCTTCATAGAAGCCATGATTTTGAAACTAGGCACAGAATGCAAATAGGGGAAAACATGACTTGTTTTTCTTCTACTCTTTTGAGGTCTGTAAAAAACAGTGGCAATACTATTACCTTTAAGTTAAAATATTTAGTATTTGACCTTTAAAGAAAACTTTCTGTTAATATAAGTTTTATCATCAGTTAATATTCATTAAGTAATGTATCTATTCATGGACTTCTACAGTTCTGTACCTCTTGTGTCCTATATGCTGGGCAGAAGGTACAGAACCTAATCAAAAAAGCCAGTTTCTATACCATAAGTGCTTTAAAAGATTACCTGAATTATTTTGATGTTGAAAGCAGAGACAATAAAGAATTTTAACAGGGGTTTTGTTTTGTTTTGTTTTTTATTTGCAAAGGATGAACAGATGTAACATTTGATAGCAACAGCTTTGTATGTGCTAGAAATTTTCTGTAGTTTTTCCACTTTTTAAAATAAATATTTGCTTTTGTTAATATAATTTGTGTTTTTTTTAAGTTTATTTTTAAAGAGAGAGAGAGGGAGAGAGAGAAACCTAAACAGGCTCTGCACTGTCAGCACAGAGACTGACGCAGGGGTCCATCTCTTCAATTGTGAGATCATAACCTAAGCTGAAATCAAGAGTCGGACACTTAATCGACTGAGCTACCCAGGCACCCCTGTTTAATATAATGTGTAAAATAGTGATACAAGTTAAAATTCTTGCTTGTATTGGGAAAGGGTCTTTTTAATCAAATTTTTGCAAAATTGAAAAACTGGCAAGGAGGGAATTATTCTTTTTATATCCTATTTGTGAAAAATTTCCCAGTAAAATACATATTGGAAAGAAAGGAGGGTTATGAAAGGAATAACTGTGTTAAATGATTTTCTGTTTGTGAGTGGAAATGGGTGGAGTTAGTTAATGTTACTTAACTTCTTTCAATATTTATTTTTTAATCTCTGTAGTAGAAAATACAGAGTTTTTACAGCAAGCTGCTTTAGAAGAATATGGTCCAGAGCTTCATGTGGCTTTGAGGAGTCGAAGAGATGAATTACACTATTTAAGGAAACTCACTGAACTACTTTTTCCTTATATTTTGCCTCCTAAAGCAACAGACTGCAGGTATAAATAGACTGGAAAATGTCATAGCGGTATTTGCATACCATGCCATATGTGTATTGATATTCTTTTTTTTTTTTTTTT